ATATTAGAAGGGAGAATGGTTCTGACCAGTCGGCTAAATCTAATCATTTGCATTACTCACGGGCGTATGCATCCCATACTGCGCTTCGTTTCACGGAAATATTGATGATTGACCGATGTATTTTGGTCCATAAATGATTTTTTATGTTGGAATGCTAAAACATGAATAAAACTAAACGAACTATAACAAAAATAAACAGAGTCGTCGATTAATAAAATTCCACTTGCTTAATTCATAATTTCCAGATATTCGAGGAAGAAACACCATAAAAATGAACAAGAAAGGCTTGGATAGCAAAACAATTTCACCGGCCCACAATTGAACCTCAACAAAAAAGGAATGCACAAACCGCTGATACAACATTCGAGTGTAAATATTTACCTGGAGTCGACCGTGAAAACTTTTGTAGCGCCAGAAACTTGCGCAGACCTCACACTTGTAAAGAATTGCAATCAAATAGCGAACAGGTTTTACTTTATTCCTTTGGCATTCCATGTTTTGTATGAACATTGTTTAAGAAGTGTTAGTTTATTTTAAATTGAATTTTTTTACACAATAATACACATAGGCATTGAGACAAAATACACATAGGCATTGTCACAAAGAAAGTTAAACAAAATGTTGGTTAATGCTTACTAAAAATATTTGTTGGACGAAAAACTTTTTGTAGTAACTGAGGTGGTGTGATATTTTATTTTGCGGTAATTTTTTTGCTGTAAGGTTTATCTAGTTTTAATATTTTTGTGATACGGTAAAGATTTAATCTCATAACCACGAGATCCCCAAAAGTTCGTTTTCCAAGTTGGTAATTGAATTCCGTACATGTATTCGGGTCGGTATTCTGCTCGGGTCTCACGTCGCGTCGCGGTCAGGATTTGGGGTGTATAGGAAATATTTTTTGATGTCTTCCCACTCGGCTCATTGGGCGGAGGTATTGTTGGTATTTTCATGAGTACTCGTTTTTCATTTACAGATTCCTTTCACGAGCTGGACACGGTTAATGATGTTTCCCCGAGGATTGCAAGGCGTTCGTTATGTGAGTAATATTAAAACGTATAGCACTTTTATTTCAAATATTTCAGATATACTCCGAGCAATTTTTGTAATAGTAAATCATAAATATTATAAGTATATTGTTACCAAGAAATTCAAAGCGAAGAAAGAAGTATTATTCGACCAATATAACATGAAAACATGTGAAGTTAAATTCATTTATGGAGAGATCGAAACCCAAACAATCAGATGTGAGGGCGACCTGTAATAGGAGGTTTCCGACAAACGCCACCACACAATAGAGGTAAGATGCGCATTGGACAGTGCAGATTGCATCCATTTCAGCATAGAATATCGTATGTTGCTCCTGAATAACGAATTTATGTAGTCATATATTAAACAATACTAAGTCTAGTCAATATTTAATCGGAAATTGGGTAAATAGACAGTAAAAAACAAGAGAAATAGTAAGATTTTTCAATAAAAAAAAAATTACAACTGATTTGAATATGTTACATCCAAAATCATTGGTTCTCAAATAACCAGAGCTATGTATATCGACAATCAAATGGTTGCATTGTTGCATTGGGGTGCAAACGTCAGAGAACTGATTGCGGCCAGTACTGACGTATGATGATACGATTGTCCGCCTGTTAAACGTTTTCATTTGAATTTGATCACTGGCCTGTCTGCATTCGATAATGTTTGCCAAAATAGGGCCGACGGGATTTCATCTATATTTAGTAATAGCAAACGTTGGCGAATCACTCATAGGGTAGTGGGCATATTTGTTATTGTTAAGTACTCTGATCTTGCGAGGAGTATATTGATTTTTATTTGTATAACATATTGAAGAAACAAATAATTTTGCTGGGCAAATTCTAGCGGCTGATAATTTAGAGAAGAGATTTAAGTTACTACTCACTAAATACGTATCACGGTGAAACATAATAAACGAAACAATCAACACGTTATTAAGTTAGATATAATAATATAACCGTTAATAACATATCTGAAGGGATATGCACATCGAATTCCCAACATCAAAATAGACATTGATAGCCCCATTCCGGGCATAATTTTGACATAATTGGCGTTACATTCCCATTGCGTACCCTTTCAAGACGCCATGATGTTACGACCTACATGTTATTTAATTACACAATCTTGAATACAATGTGAATTGTACAGACTCTTAGCTGCTTCAATGAGGGGATGTGCCAGTGTAACGGAAATTATATTATTTCTCCATGGATGTAGGAGAATGTAAACGTCAACGAATTTATAACATATAACATTTTTTATTACTCTAAAGTTCAAAAAGGTTCAATTATTAAAAATAGTGATGAATATGTCACCAATAAGTACAATAAGCACTCTCAATTATAATATAATAAATCAATTGGATTGGTTATTCTTACTCCTATCTCTAAATTTTTGTTATTTGAATGGATTTTGTTATTAAACGTTAAATATTAATACAGCATCTACAAATAGAACTTGCAAAATAGGACACATCAACTTTAGATATAAGTTTTCAATGCATATTAATTATATGGATTATAATGCGTAATAACCTCTGTATTTAAATGGAAGCGTATTACGAAAGCGCTAGATTCGTCGATAGCGACTATTCAATACAATATCTGTTATGAATGGGCGCTCGCGAACGTTGATTGCCTAATCAAAGTGTGCGAGCGTTCTCAGTCTTCCAATTTCCATGGGCATTTCGATCGCTCTTCCGATTGAATATACAAGTGGACGTTTTAAGTAGCTGCCAATTTATTTGGTTACTTTTTATTATGTAATTGCGTTATAAACGGGGATGAGCCTAATCATACTGGGCTTTGAGTACACTACAAAAATCTCTTAAAATACTACCTTATTGTAGTGAGATGATATTTCTGCAATACATTGTTTGCAAAGCTATTGGGCAGCACTGGCTTTTGTAACTAAAGTTGTATTTCACAGCACGGACGTATAGACCGCTATCTGATGATTGGTTTTTGGCAATTAACAGTATTGCTCACGTCGCAATCGAGTTCATTCACCATGTGAAATATGTATGGAGCGTCCGTTTCCCTCTTCATTATATCGCAAATATACCCGTCTATAGATAATTGACATACATAATAATTTCCATTTATAGTTCTGAGGGTGATATAAATAAGTATTATTCTTAAATATCAAAAACTTCTTTTTAAATCACTAAATAGTCTTTTAACTTTTTTATCGATAAGTATATAAAATCACATTGCAACTAGGAAATGGGACCGGTAAAGAAAACACAAAGGTGTTAATTGGTCGCTCCAGTAAGTTGTCAAAAAGCTTTTAAAGAAGACCAAAGACCAAATAGTCTAGAAAATCCATTAACTACGGTTTGTAACAAAGTAAGTGTAGCCAGCTCATTCATTTAAGGTGGCTTTGAGAATTTTTGTGCTCAATATAAATTTCAATATTCTCATACACTTAGCAGCGGTGTTATTATAACACATGTTTCACCGTCAATAATTACTTTCATTATATGCGGCGCACTGTGACCTGTCGTCCCTTTATTAACATTTAAATTTATATTACATTTACACAAGAGAAATGTCTACCTCGATAAAATATCTACGGCACCTTTACACCAACTGTGACACGTACAATGTTCTAATAGACGAGTTAAACGTGACATTATTATATCACAAATAGAGTTGAATTTGGTATGCCTTTATCATTTTCAATAGAATTAAGCCCTTTGTCTCAAGGCGTTAGTTTGCCACCACGATGTTGCTTGACATTTGTACAAAGGTTACGTGCCTCTATTCTGTTAGTTTTCTTTTTATTTCCTGACGTTATGTTGGATTGTTAAGGAAAGGGGTTTTACATTGTATTCGAATTAACCTTTTCGATTGTAAGGGGTTGAATGTTTGGTCAGCAAAATGAATAGGAATTAGGGGTACTCTTAGATAATGGAATTGGCAATTTTGATTGATGTTTTTCTCCAACATTTAAATTGCGTAACGTAATAATAAGAATAATACACTTTATTGCACTCAATATCACACAAGTTACAGGAAAATTACAGTAAGAAGAAACAGAGCACAAATGGCGGCCCTATTGCTATGCAGTAATTTCTTCCAGACACCCAATGGAGAGAAAAAAAAAAGGAAATTTTAATGGATAGTGTGGGGGTGGTAGCTGTAATATAAGGAAGGATAAATAAATAAATATATTATATACGGTATATAGACGGTATATTCTATCCGTCAGGAAGCCGTGTAACGTTTTAAATATGGAATGAAATAAAATAGAAATTTAAATTTAAGTTCCACTTACTCGTAGCATCTTTTCAACAAAGATGCTTTTTAACTTTTCAACAGGCCGTAGCAAAATTGTCTTAATAAATTGCGTAATTATGCTGATTATATAGACGTCAAAAGCAAGCCATAAAACTATCAATGAACCTATAAACTAAAGAAAACGTTGGAACACGCGAGCCGCGGGCTTGGGAAAGTACAGAAACAAACAGACAACATTAACTGCAAGAACTGGCTAGAGATTATAACGTGTGAATAGGCGCATAAAAATAGTATTAATTGAACACCCACAACGCATTGTGGCGTAGACAATAATTATAGAAGAGGCGGCTATGAGTCGGTGGCACGTAAAGGAAATTGGCAACATAAGGCTCCAACTAGTGTAATATGAGAAAATAATAGTTTTAATGTTGGAAATAAATAACGAACCGAGGAAGAAGACAATGGTGTTGTAACAAGATCTCCTGTTAATTGTGGCGAATGCGGAGCGAGGGCCAGTGATCGGAGATTTATGGAGGCATTGAAATTACACCCTATTTGTTCTTTTCAAAGCGCATGGAATGCCGTTTTTGCTTGTAGTATAAATCTCAATATCGTATTTTTAAATAATATGATCATTTTGATATGACTAATGTTTTGAATAATGAAATTACAGTTTCAACGTGGTTATAATAAATGGTGTCTAGTAATAAATGAAGTACTTACCTCTCATTTTCTGTTCGTCCAAAAGTTGTCTCTCTAAATTATCTTTCACCTCTCTTTCTCTGAGAACGTCCATTTTTAATTCAGCTGTAACAATAGACATAAAAATATATATTACCATTATTAGTCATCTCTTTCCCCTGACGTCACAAATTTAATAAAGGCATTCCAATAAAAGAAACCATTATCATAAACAAGGTTTTAACTTAAATAAATGGCTCATTGTACACAATAGGTATTGTATAAATTTAACAGTGAGCTAAACTGGCAACAAGGCCGTCAGTAAGGGGCCGATTAGGAACATAAACACGGATTAACTCATTCGGAATCCGGGTACTATTGTGAAGGAGTCGAATCGATGGGATTTGAATAACTTCCAATTAAATTCAACCTGACGGAAGTGATTGGGGAGTAACTTCCGATTTCAATGTTTCAAGATAACAGATCAATAGGGTAATATAATATTATGGTCAGTCGAATATAATTACAGTTTCATTGCTGTATCTTTTAATTCTATTTACAATAATAAAATTTATTTTCTTTATTTTCAAAAAGAGATTGTAGTAGGTACATACTTAACAATAGCAATAGACAAATAACTAAGTATTACAATATAAGTAGATGAAGTACTGCTACCCTTGATAGGTTATATAATAACCTGTAGTAAGGTAAAACAGTCCTTTTCCCTTTGGATTCATAAAATAATTTTGGTTAAAATTATTATTTTGGGGAAATTCTGCACGATTATAAATTTATATCAATGTATTTAGACAATATTTTGTTCCACTGTGATTGCACATGGATTTGCATTTTTTCACACTAAATATATGTAAATTCTACTCATTGTTTCTTGATGCTTTTCGACCATACATTCTAATTTTATGCAAAGTCAAAGATCTGAACTAAATTAAATCGTAACTTTCAATCAAGCTCTAATCTCGGTAGTGGAATCGTAACTATCAATACCCATACGCACGGGAGCCATCATCGAGGATTTGAATAGAAAGAGGTTTTGCTCAAGGTTTAATTTTGTCCCTTATACTATTAGGGCTAAGCAGCGTCAATCTAATGGAGCCCGTAAGGGGATCGCACTGATTAACTCGCTTTAGTATCTACATTAACTATACTGTGAAATACTTTGTTGCCATTATTTTTAACGCCCAAACACCTGTTTAAGACGTAACGTTTGCTAATATTATTATCTACTTTATTTATTTTTGTTTTTGAATCCAAACTTTTGAATTTAAGGTTATTTTTGATATTGTAAAAGGTAGGTAATATAAACTTTATTTTGTCATCGGTATTTAGAAGTTTAGTTGATTTTTTCTATCTTAGTAGTATTTTGTATAATTTCATTAAGATTATTCAAAGATATATTTAATGTTATTTGAATGAGAGTTTTTTGATTGATCAATCTTAGAACATTTTATTATCTGGTTCCAATATTGATAGTTAAATTGCAACGATATTACCGTCCCGCAACTATCTTGTACGTTGCAACGAGAACTGTGCCGTTTAATAATTCCGTTAGCGATTCAATTATTTCAACAGGTTCTATATGAGCCAGCAATCTATTTAGACAACAGTCATAATTGGAGGCCAAATAAGTAGTTTCTGTCTGGAGATTTATATTGATGATTTTTAGAAGATTAAAAAGGATTTTTTTTGTTGTTTTAAAAACAAAATGATTCCCTTACATATCTTAATGACATTATATTGTTCGCAAATTCTCGATATATCTTTATTTTACCTAACATCACCATTGATTATCGGTAAAAGCTGTATTGTTCATACTCTTTTGAGATCATATTATAGGTAACTATATCTCAATGTGTAAACATGTTTGCGTCTGATTTATTACAACGTAAATAAATTAATTTATAGTTATTATTTTCTGGTACAACATATTAAAATAAAATGCCAATTACCAGAGGATGCGTCAAAACATAGTACGTGCGATATTGATCTACAATGATATGAGGATACATGTAAAAAGTAGCCAGGTAACTCATTCGGTATCGACGCACCGAAATCTCAGCGATAACGGCAGAGACAAGTTAACTTGTTCGGTTATAATAAGGCCGGGATGGAGGTACGAGTATCGTACGAGCTATCGCGGCCGCAGATCTTGTAAATTGAAACGTTCACATATTCCCTCCTTATTGTTCTCTTTTATCGATTCGAATGGTTTAGGCTTTGTTGTGGCTTCTGTTCCGATCTTTAATCTTTGGCTTTGTAAACAAATTTCAAATTATTTTTCTTGTGTTATTATTATTAAAGATTCTTAACCGTACAACAATTACTAAGCAACATTTACTAATAGTAGCTTTATGAAAATGATAATTATTACTTTTAACTCCAAGATTCCGATTAGCGCGATCAATCGCAATCAGATTTTTATTGCGGCATTTTTTATAATGGAAATAAGAGTCCATCTTAGAGCTGCGCGTCAGATGCGAGATTAATTTCGAATCAATCCTGTATGGTGTAATTTAGAGGGCTTTTAGTTAAGAGTGGTTTCGCACATAAGACGTAAATTACCTCAGCCAGGGATGGCCATTAAGGGTCCGCTTCGGTATGCGCGTATCTCAACATCTTGCGATTTGCGAGTGGAAAAGCCTTAACAAAAGGTGCTCCCGGTGGTCCCTGCGTACTTAGTAACGTTCTAAGTATATTCGTATTGTTTTATGTTAATGATATAGATGCTGTTACTGGTCCTTAGACGATTAATAGGCTATGAAAGTGTTGTTTTGTAAAGTGTCATGCTTGGTATCTGCGTAGACATTAATTCTTCTTCTTTAAATACATGATTTTATGAGTTTAAAGAATTTCATGACTTTATATGTACGTGAAAGAAGAAATATTTTCATTTCTGCGTGTTATAATTTTAAGTCATCTTAAGATGATTTGTAGTATAATCATATAAAACCTTCTAACACCTTAAAAATAATCGAATAAAAAAAACATAATTTAAATTAGAAACTTGTAAATTGTCGGGCTTACAAACAGACAGAAAACAAAATCGATCCAATGAGGAACGTTTATCGATTAAAAGAAGAGAAAAGCGAGACGGCAAAGCGGAACAGCCGATTATTAAATCGATCTTTATATCGGATCAATCAAATTCAAAACCTGATCGAGTTGCGTTCGACGAAAAAATTATTACTTTATAAATAAAATAACAATAAAAACGATGCGCCCCGTTCAAGGGAATATATAATTATGGACAATTATTATGATGCCGAAACTCAATGGCTGATAGATGATGGAAAGGATCGAGACCCATAAACAAAAGGATCAATTTAGGTAACGTAATTTAATAACGTGATGTAATTAGTTGATATTAAAATTGATTCAAACACATTCAAACCCGAATGGTTTAACGGACTGATTCATATAAAAGGCAACGACTTTTAGTGGAGTACTAACCCAGTTATACGAAGGGTGGGAAATTCTATTTCTCTTCAATTCCGTGCACTCAGCAAAAACAACAATAATATTTTATTTAAATTTCAAACATGACGCCCTTTGAGAGTCGTCCAACAAGAACGAGTCCCACTTGCCTTTAAATTGTGTAATCGGTATATCTATAACTACATAACATTTTGTTTTGGAAAAAATGAATGATAGATCTTATTAATTAGACAATGTTACAAATGATAACATAAACCGCGAACTGAACACGACCGTTTTAATTTCATTAAAACATAAGTCATAGGGTATGGGAATTAAGACATATTTTCACGTCCCCCGTCTCGGCGCGGACTAAGTTGAGCTTGCAGTTAAAATAACAATTAAAGTCTACCTGAAATTTACGACTCAAAACTGGTGGAATAATTGAAAGAGCTCTGCGGCGAGTACAAACGAAATGGATCTTTGAAAATGGGAAACAAAGGTAAGAATTAGATTACCCACTGACTGCGTTTCGCTGTTTTAATACGAATGAATGAACGGAAGTCTCCGGCCTTTTGTTGAAATTTTAATAGTAATAATGTAAGAAGATATTATTAAGGAACATTTTTGATTTAAGCATCTTTAAAGGTATAAGAAGGTGAAATTGGATTTATCAGAGATGTTTGTCTGACTTATATTTTAATGGGGGAAATTGGATTGGATATTGAATTGAATTCGCGTTGTTAAAACAGTTAGGGGTATATACCCTACGTTTGCTTCGTACAAACGAATACATTAACGTAATTCGCGTTACCTTTTAAAAAGTAAATTCGTAGTAACGATAATGGCCGTCCTGGCGCGGAAAACGAATTTTCTTCCCTATGCCTTTTAAATTTACAAACCGGTTGGCAATTTTATTTTATTGTTATTAGATTTTTCCGGATTATGTCACACGGCGATGTCACAGCGGAGGATTATTCCCGCAGTCTCTGTGCTAATAATCATAAGAATTGCTTCCCTTTATTATGTGTGAAATTTAGAACATAAAAACTGGCATCCAATCTTTCCCCCGGCTTTGCATTTTCGTCTTTTTCGTGACTGAATACGGTTACATTTGAAAAAGCAGCCTTTAATGTATTCTTCATAAAAATATACATTTTCTAATGCTACTCATCGTAGAATTTGCTTTGTTGGAACATATGGAGGAAACACTTTTGAATATTCATAAGAAATCTGCATTCAAAAATACGATATTTTCAGTGGAAAACTTGGGATACCAAAAAAAGTTAATGTATTAAGAGTTTATACATATAATAATAAAATTAAGAACTAATGTAACTGAATGGAGTTATGAAGTTTTAATTTTTAATAAACAATAGTATCGTTTTGGTTGAAATGAACTGCACTGGTTTCGTTTCGGTTAGCTATAATAAAATATTACTTGTATAGTTTCATGCAAGTATAACAAAAGGCACAATAATGAAGATGTCGCCACAAAATGAATTAAAAAGTGGTAGCGTATCGAGCGTGCACCGGCGGAATAACTCGTAGTGTTATCGGCGCACGCGCACCCAATCTGCGATCGGAACACACCGGATAAGATTATCCAGTAGCCCTGTATTATTTTAATGAGACTACACAACTCCGCGAGATTCGATACGATATAAAAAAGCTTAGGTAACGAAGCGTATAAA